GCACATTGTCTAAATTTTGACTAAAGATACGAAATTCTATTTGAATTGACATGCATCTATTGCCTGACTCCGTGGCGCAATGGTAGCGCGTCTGACTCCAGATCAGAAGGTTGCGTGTTCAAATCACGCCTCAAGTAACTGTAGAGGACTTCAAGTCCTTCAACAATAAGGACGTTCTGAACAGTCAAAAAAAGTCAACTATTTGCTAAATAAAGGCGAAAAACTATTGTCCTGAATACTAAGAGCCTGTACCGGACCCCTCCCAACTAAACTAATGTCTAAATTGCCATAGATGAAAACCTTGATTTGTAATATAAACCCTTAATTTTTTATGAAAACCATTTATTTGAGGTGAAAACCTTTATGTGTGATGAAAAATTTTAACCCGCAACCTAGTTTTCGGAAAGAAAAAAAGAAAGAACGCATAAATTATTGAAACAAATTTAACTGAAGAAATTTATTTGATATAAAATTACAATTTAGTTTAACTTTGGCGAAGTATTCAAATGGGCAAAACAAAAGAGTAAGATACTCCTAGCATAATTTCACATATTTTCCTCCATTGTAGACTGTCACGCTGCGTGACGTTTTCACCTGTCCAGCCATAGCCTATGTTCTGAACGTCAACGACGTACCAACAACCTAGAGCCCCTACATCAAAGTATGAATAAGATTTCAATACAATAACATTTTCATTGAACTAAATAAAATCATTTAGGATGTTTTGAATATTTAACATATAAAACTGGTCTCAATGCTACTATTGTATTTTTTTTTTTTTTTTTTTTTTTTTTTTTAAAGTTCGAATTGTAGGTCGATCCAGTCTTTTTCCTGTTGAAATTTCTCTTGGTAGTCTTGTAGTCTCGAGAAAAAAATCAGAGTTCCCCCTATTTGAAATAATGGAATAAGCATCCCAGTCCCGACAAAGTAACTTGACCTAGTTGTGGCTAAATGCAACACATTCTGACAGAATCAGACGCCATTTTGTTGACAAAACCACAAGAAATCGTAATATTTCACCGAAAATACGCCATTTGACCCTGGCAATACAAATTTCCAAATAATTAGTACAGCTGAATTATTCATACCATTTGTACAACATTGTGTTACCTAGATAAAAACCAATTTGAAAAGCGCGGTAAAAGAATGGCGCTTCTCCTGTTACACCTGGGGTTATTATTTAGATGGGTATGAAAATGTTTGTGTCATTGACGATTGGAGTTTAAGTTTGAAACGTAAAAGGTCAGTTTTTCTACTTTTAACTTTTTTAGTTTATAAAACTCAATATAGACCGAGCCAATAAGGGGTAATAAGACAAATTTCGATACCAATCGTTCTGATTTATGACTTCATGACTAAAATCTAGAGTTAGCCAGTTGCGTTCCACCGGCAGAACCATCCATATATTGAAGTAACTTGAAAGGTGGTTTAAATCAAGACATCCCCGAACTTTCCAAGATACAATCCGTGTATTTTTGGTAGTAATAATTTCAGAAACCAACACCAATGATAATCATAAAGATATTATGGCAAACATTATTATAAAAAAATACCATCATCTCTGAAACACGTCCTCTCTGAAACACTTCCTAAACATAATAACAGGACAATAATATAGTTTTAATTGGCTTCCCCTTTTTGGGAATTTGTGATATAATTTAATAATTATTTTCCATCTATGTACTTATACTGGTAAAGTGGTTTGGTTTAAATGGCGATTCATTAAAATACAAGCTTTTAGTTCATTATATTTTTTATTTCCTACATATCACAGATTTAAATTGTAAAAAATCATACGTCATAAGACTAGATAACTAATAACAGACAGTCAGTTGCAAATAGGGACGTAGCAAAACGGGGCGCCAAAGCAATTATTGAATTCATAGTGAAATTTAATTTGAATTAATGTTGTGTGACATACCTATATGACTATTCAGATTTATTTTTACATAGAATATACATATATATTCAAATGTATTTTCGATGTTTGTACAATATTTTCTTGTACCGATTCGCTCCGCTCTACCTTAAATAATACATAAAAAAGTTAGAATGGATATTTTTGTTGGCTCCTGTTCTGTTCAAATTGATAAAAGCGACACATACTATATCGAAATGTTAAATAATTCATTTGATTTAAAAAGAGTAAATAACAGATGCAAATATTAAATGTTCTGTGCGAAAGCTCGAAATATTAGAACATAAAACATATGATCATTTTGGAATAAACAGTTATGGCAAAAACAGATAATCTTATTTATTATGTACTGTACATATGACAATTATGTATTAGCAATGGGTTAGGCGAAAGCCTGTTCCCCAAGTCTTTTCATATCTATGCGAGTAAAAGATATATCTTCACTATACAAATTGGATATGGTCAATGGTTTCTTGGCTATGCTTAGTCTGAAACATATCTATCAGAAGCTGGAATAGAGGCAGAGGTTTCGGTCTAATCCCTTAAGATGAGATTGTTTACTGTCTACAATTTACTTGCAGAAATCATACGTAAGACCTTAACAATAAATGCGTATAGATTTGATTAAAAATTACCCAATTGATTAACATATATACACGTCATATCTACATTTTAGTTTCTATTTACATAATTGTTTCATAGATCTTCAGTGAAAGCTTTGTCGAGGGTTGCCTTGTGTCAATGTGTCCTCCTGAATAGTGTTGTGTTGAGAATATCTTGCCTCTAGCGATAAAACAGTTAAACTTAACTCTTCACAACCAACACAATACAAAGTATCAACCCACAGAGTGGCATCGAGTGTTCCGAAGGACATCATGCCACTCTAACAACAAAAGCATCATCATATTTACATGCATTGTACTTACATAATTTAACAATTGAATCCCATAAAACCCCAACTTAAATATCTGAAATATACATAACTTATCATCTTTATATACATAATTGTACTACAATCAATAAACGAAAGCGAAATTTTTCCATCTGTATTTGATTCCCTCTCGTTTTTGTAATTCCATTCGTTTGGCGTGAAGCACTTCGGATACCCAATCTTTATGGATGGTATAATTCTCAGGTCGGCGAGGAATTGTGTTTAGGAAAAACGTTTCGTTAGTTTCCATATGTATTCGTGGTGGCTCTGGAGCAACTTCGGGAATATCTAACTTAATGGTGTATGGGAGTCTTCTGGGAATTTTTCTGAAACGATAGTAATATAAGTTATTAATTTGTGGATTAGCCATAATTCAATATCCCTAATGGTATAATAACTATGAAAGTGTGTGCTAGTTCTTATTCAGTTGATTGGTCTCTGAAAGTAAGTAAAAGTTTGGTCTTAAGCATAATTCACCAAAATCAACATGCATTTGCACATAATCATTGGTTCCGTTGTTTTAAGAAAAAGTTTCAATGTTACAACAGTCGAAATTTCCAAAAGGTTTTTGTAAGAAAGATTTGTTGTAAGGAAACATTCAGGAACCTATAAGCATTGTATCTGCACGGACGGTATCTTGGTGACTGGAAAATATCCTTTAATATAAAAATATTGTTTCGTTTCCACGTTGTGATCTAAGAGTTAAGCAAATGTTAAGTTATGATTCATGAACAAATACGCTCTGATACATTATTATATGTTTTATTATTTGGACCATTACTCATATCATGTAAGAAAATCTTCTATACTCAACACTACCCTCCCTCCCATGTTAATGATATGTTATATTTAAGGGTTCACTTACTTGAATTTATAAGGATTTCCATGAACCTCGACACCCCAACCATATCGTTCCTTCTCCTCCTCATAATCTGGTACAATGTCACCATTGTCATCGATAAGTGGAATGTCAGCTGTCGAATTGTTTTCTTTAGTTTGTGGACATGGTGGTGGTTTAGGATCGAAGCTAGGTGAATCATTAAATGTCGGGGGAATAATCGCTGTCGCTTCAGAAGTAAGTTTTGATCGAACTGGTCCAGCAGATTTGACTGGACGTTTTGGCGATGTTTGTTGATTTCTATGGATCTTTGCGCTTTGAATTCTAACATTCCGGCTATTGATTTGCTTATCTCTTGGTAGAGGCCAGTTTATTTCGGTAGATGCAGTTGACGGTTGAGGACTACATGCCTCTACTGTATATCCTGAATTCAACGTTTGTTCGTAAGCGACTTCATTGATAAAATCCAAGTCGGTTTCCTCTCGACGGCGTGACCAGCATTCTTGTGGAGTAGGTACTCGTAGTTTTGGTATAGGTCTAAATTTTGGTACTGGAGCAGTTTTGGGTCTTTGTGGAATTTTTGTTTGACGAAGGGTAGGAGACCTGGTTGCTGTAGATGGACGTTGACGAGCTGATTCACGATTGTGACCTAATATGACCAAATTATCAGGCCCTGGTACGACGGGTTTGGTGTGGTACATCGTTCCTTTGAAATTATACAGCTGGTCAACTCCTATTCAAAAGGAATAAATTCATAAATTGACATGAACGTAATCTAAAAAGAAATGTAAGTTTTAGAATAACTCTTTATTAGATATGAAGAAATTGAAATATTATAAAAATTATATGAATCCTAAACCTAAATCGTAGCAAGTTTATATTGACGCCGAACGTTTTAGAAGATAAATGATTCGACCTGACCCAAATAGATGAACAATAATCTAAATATGGATGAAAATAAGTTTCTTGAAAAACGATAATATATAGATTGCTTTGTATTGCATTGAACAATTAGTGACAATCTGCAATTGGGTTTAAGCGAATTAACATTGCTTATAATGTTTTTTTTTTAATTGATTATGATTGACTACGAAAATCTGTTGCCACGAGTAAATGCGTCACATGCGCTTTTTCCTAACTATACTACAATGTTTTTGGTAGTCAATCGATTGCAGCCTGTGATAAAAATGACATACACAGGGTTTTATACTTTGATAGTTGTATACTCACGATAATCTGAGGGAACTCCGATCCTTTCATTGTAGACATTTTTAATAGATGGATACCATCCATAGATCTTCTCCTTCATTCTGGGGATATATCTTTACCAATTTCCCGTCAATAAACCCTAAAAATATTATCATCATCATTAGGTATATTGTACAGAATACCCGAATATTGCCTCTGAATTTATATAAAGGTTAACATCACATTATTAGTCGGATGGGCATGCTCACTAGGTCATTATCATCATCATGACCATAATCATTATCCTTGCCCTTGTTGAAAACGTCGTGAACTTGTGCATTACTGGAGGGTCAAGATAGCTCACTAGGGTTAATTAGAGATAATGTCTTGGGATTTTTCAACCCAGTCTCTCCCTTTCATTGATGCAAATCACTGTGAAATGGAAAATAATATACTTGGCTTCTGTGTGAACCTCTGAAAAGCCAGCTTCGATACTGGAGAAAGAGTTCGCTGTCCTGGCAAAATACCCGTGCTTTGCGCACTGAATGGCAGTGCTCGTAAAAATGGGCTTTTACATAACCATGCCAGGGTTTATCATTGTGTGTAATGTACAATACTGGTAATGAGCTAATAATGAAGCTGGGGTGATTTATCAAGGAATATGAAGTCATGACAGGCCTGTGTTAGAATTTGATTAGAATTTATTGATTGGCCATTGGACAAATTTATAACAAGAAAGTCGCCATAAAAAATAAATGACGAAGAATTGTCCGAATATATTGGAGAAAATCTTTTAAAAAAATGTGCACTTTCTTCTACTAAAGGAAATATTTAGATACATCACATCACATTGTAGTGACGTCATATTTTGGGCATTATTAATCTGATAATTATTATATAGAACAGTAATGAGAAATTATTGAAATACAATGTATTCGTATGTTTTAAGTAGATAGCCCTCCTTTTTAAATATTTCACTCCAACAAATTTCCCATCTGACAAGGCTCAATTTAAGTTACCCGAAACACTTTTCAAAATTGAATTTCGACGTCTGCATAGGATTTCACTAAATGAGCTCTTTCATATGATAAAGCAAGATTTTTTTAAGACGGTTATATCCCTTTAAGCTGAAGTGTTTTGTGTGCGATTTTTCCAAAGTTTCTTCTCATAGTTATGTGTGTTTGTCTTGTAAGGAAGGACTAGTAAGCTACAGTGATATGTAGATTTTATAAATGATAACGTTACCTCAAGTACCTTATTGCATGCCCTTAATAAGGAAATGACCTAAAATGATATTTAACAAAAGAAATAACCTAGTAGTCATGTTCTATATTTTATACTAGATAACACCAATGACTATTAATGTTGACAAAGCATACTTAAATGAAATATCAAGTTTAAAGATGCATATTTAAGTCAAATTTATGTAAGATTATTTAAAGGAGGTATCTCAGACAAAAAAATTAAAGAAAGGGAATTATCGATTTGGAAGGGTGTGTGCAACTAGTCTTTTCTCTCGGTGTTCAGAAATAAAATCACGTTTCTTTTAATAATGAGAGTCAATTTTCGTTTTTTTCAGTAGAAGGGTTCTCTGGTTTAATGGATTGCATTCTAATTCCATTTTTGTTTGTTTCACTATTTACTTTATTTCCAACTTTTCGTTACGACTGTTCTATCAAAAGTAGCGCAATTTTCTTCAAGTCAATCCCACTTTAGCCAATATTGAATACATAGGTTTTGCCGAATGTCCGCCTGTATATTGGAAATGGTTTCATCGTATTTGTTTCCTGGGAACTTAAATCGTGTGCGTTGCTATACGAACAATGTAAAGGGAATAATCGGATTGAGAATACTGACTAAATATTAAGAATAGTTGTTGACTGTAAGCCGCTTAATATTACCACTAATCCCGTCCCGACAGCTTGACTTCACTGTTATCTTCCTCAAATCAGAAACTATTACGAATATGAATTTACGAATAATAGCGACAATTAATTAAAATTATATAGATATACATGCATTTGTTTCATTCTAAGCCAATTATCTCCCCTCCCCCTTCATTGGTCTTTAATATGAATGTATCAACTAAAATATTTGAATGGGTTGTGACTTGCGCAAGTCGGTCAGATTTCTTTTTTTTCTCTTTCAACCCTTACCACACCCAACTAAGCAAACCACACCAAAATTAATCCCCATTATGAAATAATGCACTTGAAAAGATTTGATTTTTATGCTCCATTAGAACATAAAGAGCCATATATTAAAATCACTTATTGGATATGAATTGGTATATTGTATAAGTTTAGTATCAGATACTTGAAATATAAAGGATATTAAAAGGGCTATCAGGGAGTATTTATGGTATCTTTAGTGATCTTACTTCAGTTTTGTTATCTCTTACTATTGTCTATGAGAATTTTGGGGTTCGATTAAATTGTGTACCTACGAATTTGTTTTTAAACGAAAGATGTGTAATGTTCCATTCCTATAATTTCTAAATATCTGAACTATTATGAAGAAACACTTAGTAAACGGGGAAATAACATTTCTTTTTTCCCAAGCGTTTCACATAAAATATATTTTCAATATTCAATTATTTTTCTTGTCAAAGAAAAAAAGTAATGTTTTGAATGTTTCCAAAAATTCTGTTAAACGTTTAGTCTTAATCTAATAAGATAACAACACCATAGAGCCTCCATAACACATAATATCAGTAATGTTCAAAGTCATTTATAATGACCAAGATACAAGACTAACACAATAGTAAGGTTATTTATTCTTGTCATAGATTTTGTGTTTATTGTTATACTAGTGTAGCTTACTATTCGTATACAAAACAAACAATAAATTGCTTCAATGAGCTATATTGCCCTGGGTTAAACAAGATATACATACAAAGTAATACACGATACGGCAATATATTCGTCATATATCCTGAATTCTTTCCGTGAAATATTTAAAATACCTTAATATACCTCACTTTAGCAGTTAGATGATATTCCTCCAATTATCCTAAGAACATGTTATTCACACTGTAACAAGTAGCCTATAATTAGTCGGTCATAAAACTCGGACTCGGAGTTTACTTCAATCACTAAGGACGCAGTTTACCGTCGCGTGCTATACTTCCTTTAATCCCAGAAATCAATGCGCGGTATACAACTCGGTAGCTAATTAATTCTTTTGAAGTATGTATAGGTATTGTCAATTTCTAAAACGCGATTTGACTATTTTAAAAACTGACGCTTACATAATTAATAATTAAGTAAGTCAGCACAATAGTCAAAAAGTATTCATTTGTAAGCGTAGGATTTAAATTGATAAAGAGTTTTTAAAGGTGTAAGGTCTTCTAAGACTTGACTTTTAACATTAACTTAAAGTATGTGAAAAGATTAAGAAAAGGGGAGATAAATTTGATGGTGAATTGAATCAATGCTCTTATGATTTGTAGATTTAACCCTTTTCAGGCACCGACAGGGAATGAAAATCTGAGGTGGGTTATTTCCGCAACTCTTATCACACGAGTCCTATGCTGTCTGTAGTTCCGGTGCCACCGATCCTATTACGTATGACATATGTACCTCTAGTGTTTCTACATCTTCACAATGTCAAGGTATAACAAACTTGGTCTTATACGTAGTTGTAATACCTTGACATGGTGAAGATGGTGTTTCGAAAGATTTACCAAGTTGTTATCCGTGAGATAGGATAATCGGATTCCTGACCATTTCTGAGTATGTCTGCTGTACGTTTGTCTACGATCGAAATTGCAAAACTAGCTTTCTTTAGTTTTAGAATATGGATTTATCTCCCTCCGAGTGTAGTCCACTTAATTAATGCATAGCACGAAACAATGCAAATAAGATAAAAAACACTAAAATATAACACAGTAAAATAATATTATATTGTCCTTTATTTAACCCTGTGGAAATGGTGGATTAAAAAGTTTGAGAAAGACAATAATAGGAGAAGGAAGGAGAGAGATTCAATGGTAATTGTTACAAGACCAATGGTAATTGTTACAAGACCAATGGTGATTGTATACAACCAATGGTATTTGTCACAAGGACCAATTGTAAATGATAAAAAGTCCAAAAGGTAATTGTTACAAATACAAAATGTAATTGTTACAAATACAAAATGTAATTGTTACAAGTAAAAATGGTAATTGTAACAAGACCAATGGTAAATGTAACAAGACCAAGAGTAATTGTATACAACCAATAGTAATGATTACAAAGACCAATGGAAATCGTAACAAAGCCAGTGATTATTGTTACAAAGCAATGACTACTGCAACAAAGACCAATGGTCATTGTCACAATAACCAAAGGTAATGGTAACTGTTATAAAGACAAATGCTTTATATATACATTCATCAGGAGTTTTCTTAGATCAATTTAAATTCTTCAAAAATATTGTTATATCTGATATCAATCATCTTCCCTGTATTTCTCATAATTTCTAATTTACAAAATTTTGTCCAATTATTTACCTTCAGGTAAAAATCTTT